TTACAGGTGTGAGCCATAGCACCCAGCCTACACTGTTTCTTTCTTTCTCTGGCCCATTACCCTGGCTAAGACCTCTAGGACAATGTTGAACAGAAATGGCCATGGTGGCATCTTTGTCTTATTCCTGATTTCAGAGGGAAAACTTCCAATATTTCATCATTAATACAATACTTTCCATAGTTTTTTGTTATTGTGGTTTGTTTTTCTTTCTGTTTTTTGGTGGAGCAGGGTCTTGCTCTGTCACCCAAGCTAGAGTGCAGTGCCACAATCACAGCTCACTGCAGCCTCAACCTCCTGGGCTCAAGTGATCCTCCCACCTTAGCCTCTTGAGTAGCTCAAACCAAAGGTGTGTGCCACCACACCCAGCTAATTTTTAAATTTTTCATAGACATGGAAAATTTTTCATAGACATGGAAAATTGTTGTTCAGGTTGCTCTCGAGCTCCTAGGCTCAAGCAATCCTCCCACCTTGGCCTCCGAAAGTGCTGGGATTATAGGCCTGAGCCACCACACCTGGTCTTGCCATAGCTTTTTGTAAACACTTTAAGCAGGCGAAGGAAGTATCCCGAAGTCTAGCCGGAATTATCTGAGTTCTGTCTTCTTGGAAGATCCTAAATGTTAAAATTTGTTCCCTTAACTCTTTGAGACTGGATTCTTAGAAACTCTGCTCAGCAGTAGAGTTGGAAGGAGTTACCCCTTCAATATTACAGGGAGCCCACTACTACATTTTTACATGCATTTACCAAGGTCTGTCTTTAACTGAAAATAGGCTTCCATTGATATGAATCTTTATGATTGCTTTAGAAATGGTTCATTATCTTGTGGAGTTTAAAACCTGACAAGTTAAAAACCAACCTTCTAGTTTTTTAGTAAATGTAATTGTAATTAATTTAGTGCTGCATTCAGACTATTGAAAGCATTTTGAGCAAAGAAAGCACAATAATTTAATGCTTCTGAATGGTTTTCTCTAAACAGGTTCAAAAGAGCATTAATGGGTCCCCTGATGCCTTACCTGATATGTTACCTGACCTACCCGTGTCTCTGGTTCTGTTATCCCTGATCGTGGTTGATATTATTGAAAAACTCAGGATATATCCTCTTAGAGGGAGTCAAAAGAGTAAGTGTTCTTTTAAATATGAATATTTTTTAAAGTTTGATATATCTTTCACCTTTCTGCCACTCTGTTATGTGACAACATGTTTAACGATACCTTTTCTTAGGGCTAACATTACTGATAGAAGACTGTAAACGAAGATATCTAAACATAATTATTTTTAAACCTACCTTGATAGCTAGATAGCTGCTTTTGTTTCCTATCTGCATTTTGGTAGTACTGATAAATTAAAAATTATCAAATAATTAATACCAAAAACCTTAATGTTTATTCCAGCAAGAAATTATCCAAGTAAATTATTTAGATGTATATTTTTCTAGGAAGTCTCTTAAACCATATTTTTTTTTTTTTTTTTTTTTTAAATTATACTTC